TGACCAGGCCATTTTTTGCAATACGGCACTGTATTATTTTAACTGACAATTGTGCGGTCATGCAATGCTGCACCCAAATGACATTTACATCCTTTTTTTTTTTTGACAATTTTGAGGAAAAAAAACAATATTTTTGATTTTTTGCTATTAAAAATGTCCAGTAAGAAAATGTAAAATATCTAATTTCATCATAAATTTAGGCCAAAATGTATTTTGCGAAGTGTCTTTGCTACAAAAAAAATCCCAATATGTGAAAATTAATTGGTTTAATTGAAAGTTATAGCGTTTATAAATGGTACATATACTGGAATTTTATATTTTTATTTTTTATTATTAGTAATGGCGGCAATCTGCAACTTATAGCGGGACTACGGCAGGCATTCTAACAATGGGGGGAACTGACTTGGTGTCACTAGCATCCCCAGTGACACCAATACAGTGATCAGTGCTAATAAAAAGCACTGACACTGTACTGATGGCACTGGGCATGAAGGGGTTAATATCTGGGGCGATCAAAGGGTTAACTGTGTGTGCTGCTTCACATTATGTGCTGTGTGTGTTTCACTGTAAGCACACTGCTTTGTATGGCTCTGCTATGCAGAGTGTGCAAGAGCTGATGGGAGAGGTCTGTATTGTTTATATACAGGTCTCTTCCCCCGCTGGAGATACTCAGCGATCACCGGGTGCCGGCGAGTAGTCACCGGTAGGGACCCGATAATTCACAGCCAAGGCCGCGAATAGCAGCGGGGTTAGAGTGCGCGTGCACGCCCCCCTATCCAGAACTGCAAAATCCCATGTATATATGCGTGATTTTGCGCACCCGTCCCGCCCTGTAGCAGTATTTTTGCTATAGGGCAGTGTGGAACTGGTTCATCTGCTTACATCCGCTAGTCCATAGAAATACATGGGTGTCCTTTTTTCATCCGTAAATGGACAGATGAAAAATGGACATATGGAACGCCCGTGTGAAACGCCTGTCACAGCCCTGATCACTGCCGTTACTAGATTTAAATAAATAAAAATGAGAGAGAGAGAGAGAGGATTTTGTAGACGATACAGTATATTTGATAACATTTGTTTCATGATCTGTATCATTTAAGTTTGACAAATATGCAAAACAATTAAAAATCATGAAGGGGCGAATACTTTTTTACAGCGCTGTACCTAATTAGTGTGAATATACATAAATGTTAAAAAAAAAAAACTTTTTTCTAATTCTAGTCTGTAATTATGGATGTGTTTTGGTCTTGTTTGTCTATAGCTAGGCAGGTTCTGCATCCTTGTTTCCAGCCGGTTCCAGCTGATCCTCTTATCTTGCTGAAATTCTGTGAATTCGTGTTTATCTGTGCAGGAACATTAGACTGCCTATATGACACACCTACAAACACGCCTAGCAGCCAGAGATCATGTGATCTTTGCCTAGGCTTTACATCAGGTTCACACTTGAGCATTTTGCAGAAACGCACTACAATCCATTTAACGTGATTTCCTATGGGACGGGTTCACATCTCTGCGTTTTCACCCGGTGCGTTTTTTTTTTTTTTAAAGGGTCAGGGACCTTTTTGAATGCAAAAAGTTGTGCTGTTTGGTTCTATAGACTTCAATGGAAACACTGCAGAAAAAGTTTGTAGTGCGTTTTTTCATGCCTTTTGCATTTTGATTTTTAAATCTACCTAGCAACAAGAAAAAAAAAAATGCAAAAAGTGGCAAAAATGCCAGTGCCAAAACACAATGCAGAAAAAACAGATCAAATGCAAACTGCATAGGTGTGAACCTGGCCTTAGGCTAGGTTTACATCTGTGCGGGTGGTGCCGCTGCGGATCCACACAAAAATACGTGCAGCTGCACCACCCGCACAGAGGAATTAATTCTAATGGCAAGCCACCCGCACTGGAAATCACAGCCATACTGGGAACCGAGGTTCCCGTGCGGGCTGCATTTTCTGAAGAAGTGCAGGGACTTTTTTCCTACGTGTCTCGAGGCACGGGAATCCATTCAAATGAATAGGCTCTCGTACCCGCGCAAAATGCGGCCCACAGGAACGGGGAGATGTGAACCTATCCTTCGTGCTCAAGAGACCCCAGGATCAGCCTTTGATGTATTTTCTATTTTTTTACACATGCCAAGAAGAAAGATAGTTCCAATGAAGATAATCGTGATTTGGCAATTCCGACGCGTGCCCTATTGATTCCTGGGGAATGCGATCTTTATTGATCTCTCCACTGATTTAAATGTACATTTCCCACCTCCTTACTCCCAGTGGGGCCAGACTTTATGCGTTTGTTCACATTTCATATCGGTCAATACAACAACAGCAAACTCTTCCACAGACTAATCATTAAAATGCTTGTAATAACAGCCAGGAAAAAAAAAAACATTCTGTTAGCACTTTTTTTTTAAATGACAAGTTTTGTTCCACTTTAGGGCTTGTTCATGCATACTTTAGTCTCTGAAAAGCAATCTGAATGCAGATCACTTTTCAGAGATCAGTTGACAGGCCTGAGGGTTCCTCACCATCTGCTTTAATCCTTTTAACCCCCTTGTTGCAGGTGCAGGGTTGTCAGTGCTGCTCCAGTAGTTTCCCTACATTGGGAAGTGCCCAACCATAGGCAGGATTAGGAACCCCAGCTTGTTTTTTAAAGAAATTGGACATTAAACATCACTGCTCCTGGCATTCTTTTTTTTTTTTTTTTGCATTTGTACATGTTCTTCGGGGCTGTAACCAACCCCCATGTTGTTTGTTTTTTTATACTCTCTTGCCAATAGCCCAGGAAACAGTAATTTTTAATTAGCCAGATTCAGCTCTCATTGATTTTAGTGGGGTTTGGATTTAGCATCCAAACTTCTTCGAAGTGTGTCGAACAATGCTCACACTGAACCCAAGGCGGTTTGACTCATCCCTAGTGATAGGTGTTTACGTGAAAGGGATTCCATTGTACATCAGATCCACTCAGGGGCGGACTGACAGCTCATTGGGCCCCCGGGCAATAGGGGATCATGGGGCCCCTGTGTCCTTGCCCAAACTCAAAAAAGCCTATGAAAAAGGTACCAGTGGCATCTCATGGGGCCCCCTACTGACCCCGGGCCCTCGAGCAGTGCCCGAGTTTCCAAATGGTCAGTCCGCACCTGGATCCACTCTACACAGTTATCAAGATTTTTCCTCCTCTTGGATGGATCTGGTTGTAGTCTTGCCTGTCCTACCCCAGGGGTCGGAGTCTCCTCTTGAATGGATCTGGCTGCAGTCATGCCTGTACTACTGGAATCGCTTTTGGAGGGATTTGATTGGAGTTTCCTCTTGGATGGATCTGGTTGTAGTCATGCCTGTCCTCCCCCAGTGATTTAAGTCTTCTCTTTGATGAATCTGCTTGTAATAATGAATGTCCTTTCTGGGACATTGGTGTCTGCACTTAAAAGGATTGGGTTCTAATCAAGCCTGGGACATTGGAAGTCACTTAGATGGATCTAGATGGTTCCAGCCATGGTTGTAGCTCCTCCTGTCCTCTCCAGGGATTAGAGTTCCTCCTTTTAAGGATAAGGTTCTAGTCCCTCCAGTTATCTCCAGGGATCAGAATCTCGTGTTGGAAGCAGGGGCGGACCAGGGGTGGGACTGACAACTCATGGGGCCCCGGGCAATAGGGGATCATGGGGCCCCTGTGTCCTCACCCACACCCAAAAAAAGCCTATGAAAAAGCCAATGAAAGGTACCAGGGGCATCTCATGGGGCCCCCTACTGACCCCTGGCCCTCGGGCAGTGCCCGAGTGCTGGAATGGTCAGTCCAGCCCTGGGGAGGACTGACCATTTGGAAACTAGGGCACTGCCCAATGGCCCGGGGTCAGTAGGGGGCCCCATAAGATGCCCCTGGTACCTTTTTCATAGGCTTTTTTGAGTTTGGGCAAGGACACAGGGGCCCCATTATCCCCTATTGCCCGGGGGCCCCATGAGTTGTCAGTCCGCCCCAGTTGAAAGGATCAGGTTCCTCTTGCAGAGATCTGGTTGTGGTCCCTCCTGTCCTCTCCGGAGATCGGAGTTCCTCTTGTAGGGATCAGGTTGTGCTCCCCAGGGATCAGAATTACTCTTTTAAGGATCAGGTTGTAGTCCCTCCCGTCCTCTCCAGGGATCAGCATTCCTCTTGTAGGGATCAGGTTGTGGTCCCTCCAGTCCTCTCCCGGAGATCGGAGGTTCCTCTTGTAGGGATCAGGTTGTGGTCCGTCCCTGTCCTCTCCCGGAGATCGGAGGTTCCTCTTGTAGGGATCAGGTTGTGGTCCGTCCTGTCCTCTCCCAGAGATCTGAGGTCCCTCTTGTAGGGATCAGGTTGTGGTCCGTCCTGTCCTCTCCCGGAGATCTGAGGTCCTCTTTGTAGGGATCAGGTTGTGGTCCGTCCTGTCCTCTCCCGAGATCTGAGGTTCCTCTTGTAGGGATCAGGTTGTGGTCCGTCCGGTCTTCTCCCGGAGATCTGAGGTTCCTCTTGTAGGGATCAGGTTGTGGTCCGTCCGGTCTTCTCCCGGAGATCTGAGGTTCCTCTTGTAGGGATCAGGTTGTGGTCCGTCCTGTCCTCTCCCAGAGATCGGAGGTTCCTCTTGTAGGGATCAGGTTGTGGTCCGTCCTGTCCTCTCCCAGAGATCTGAGGTCCCTCTTGTAGGGATCAGGTTGTGGTCCCTCCAGTCCTCTCCCGGGAATGGGAGTCTCCTGGCTCTCATGCCATGGCAGGCTCCCAGCACGTGATTGGAGCTGACTCCGCCCCCTCACCCTCCTATAACCCTTCGGTCCCCCGATCCGCCGGCAGTAGAGCGGGAGTGCCGCCACCAGACATGATCCGGCCGTGTTCCGCGGAGCAGGGTTGCGGAGCCGGGCACCATGGGCAGCAGCTCCGCGGGCTGTGACAACTCCAGCATGTGGGAGGCCAACGTGTCCAGCGTGGTGCGGGAGCGGAGCCAGGACTGCGGGGGCTCGGTGTCGGTGGCGTTCCCGCTGTCCATGATGATCACCGGTCTGGTGGGCAATGCCCTGGCCGTGTCCCTCATCTACCGATCCTACCGGCAGAAGGAGAGTAAGAGGAAGCACTCGTTCCTGCTGTGTATCGGCAGCCTGGCGCTCACCGACTTCACCGGGCAGCTGCTCACCAGCCCCATCGTCATCTCCGTCTACCTTGGCCGGCCGCCAGTGGAATCGCGTGGACCCGTCGGGTCACCTGTGCAACTTCTTCGGGCTGAGCATGGCCATGTTCGGGCTGTGCCCGCTCTTCATCGCCAGCGCCATGGCCATCGAGAGGACCCTGGCCATCCGCTCCCCGCACTGGTACTCCAGCCACATGCGGAGCCGGGCCACCGTCACAGTGCTGCTGGCCATCTGGGGCGCCGGACTCGGCTTCGCCCTACTGCCGCTGCTCGGGCTGGGGCACTACTCGGTGCAGTGGCCGGGCACCTGGTGCTTCATCAGCACGGACCAGCGGAGCCCCGGAAACGTCGTCTTCGCCGCCACCTTCGCCTCCTTGGGGCTTCTGTCGCTGGGGACTACCTTCACCTGCAATCTGGCGACCATTAAAGCCTTGGTCAGCCGCTGCAAGAGCCGGAGCTCGGCGTCCAAGGCCAGCAAGCAGTGGGAGCGGATCACGATGGAGACCATGTTCCAGCTGATGGGGATCATGTGTGTGCTCTTCGCCTGCTGGTCGCCGCTCCTGGTAGGTGGATCATGGGGGTTCCGCGCCTTTCCTAATTTGTTACTTTTCCCCTACAACATAATGGCAACATTTATAGGGCTGAGCAGTCCATGTTGAGGGTTGTTATTCCAAGTTATGTCAGAAAAGTTTATGGTGTCGGTTGGGATTCTCTGGAATAGATCATTTTTAATAGTGGCAAACAGGGCTCCTGGTAGGTGGGTCATGGGGGCTCCGCGCCTTTTATAACTTGTTACTTTCCTCCTGTTACAAAATGGCAACATTTATAGGGCTGAGCAGTTCATGTTGAAGGTTGTTATTCCAAGTTATGGTAGAAAAGTTTATCGTGTTGGTTGGGATCCTCAAGAATAGATCATTTTTAATAGTGGCAAAACGGGGCTCTGGGTAGGTGGGTCATGGGGGCTCCGCGCCTTTCATACCTTGTTACTTTCCTCCTGTTACAAAATAGCAACATTTATAGGGCTGAGCAGTCCATGTTGAGGGTATAGCTCTACAAAGTGCTCCCGAGGTATGTCAGAAATGTTTATGGTGCCGGTTGGGATCCTCGAGAATAGATCCGCTTTTAATAGCAGTAAAACCCCGCTCCTCGTAGGTGGATCATTGCGCTCCGCACCTTTCATAACTTGTTACTTTCTTCCTATTACAAAATGACATTTATAGGGTTGAGCAGCCCCTGTTGAGGGTTGTAGTTCTACAAAGTGCTCCATAGTTATGTCAAAAAAGTTTATGGGTGTTGGTTGGGATCTTCAAGAGTAGATCAACATTAATAGTAGCAAAACATGACTCCTGGTAGGTGGGTCATTAGGGCTCTGCACCTTTCATAACTTCTTACTTTCCCCCTATTACAAAATGGCAACATTTATAGAGCAGGACTTTCCATGTTGAGGACTGTAACTCTATAAAGTGCTTCCACATTATGTCATAAAGGTTTATGGTGTTGGTTGGGATCCTCAAGTATAGACCAACTCTTAATGATAGCAAAACACTGCTCCTGGTAGGTGGGTCATAGAGGCTCCATGCCTTTTATAACTTGCTACTGTCTTCCTATTACAGAATGGCTACATTTATAGGACTGAGCTGTCCCTGCTAAGTGTGGCATGACAGTGTAAGTGCTGGACTGTTCAAGGTGTCAAATAAGTTTATGGTGTTGGTTGGGATCCTCAGTAATAGATCACCTTTTAATAGCAGGAGAACCCCGCTCCTCTTAGGTGGATCATTGGACTCCACACTTTTCATAACTTGTTACTCTCTTCCTATTGCAAAATGACATTTATAGGGCTGAGCAGCCCCTGTTGAGAGTTTTAGTTCTACAAAGTGCTCCATAGTTATGCCAGAAAAGTTTATGGTGTTGGTTTGGATCCTCAAGAGTAGATCAACATTTAATAGTAGCAAAACATGACTCCTGGTAGGTGGGTCATGAGGGCTCTGCACCTTTCATAACTTCTTACTTTCCCCCTATTACAAAATGGCAACATTTACAGAGCAGGACAGTCCATGTTGAGGACTGTAACTCTATAAAGTGCTTCCACATTATGTCATAAAAGTTTATGGTGTTGGTTGGGATCCTCAATAATAGATTGGCTTTTAATAGCAGCAAAACCCAGCTCCTCGTAGGTGGATCATTGCGCTCCGCACCTTTCATAACTTGTTACTTTCTTCCTATTACAAAATGACATTTATAGGGCTGAGCAGCCCATGTTGAGGGTTGTAGTTCTACAAAGTGCTCCATAGTTATGCCAGAAAAGTTTTGGTGTTGGTTGGGATCCTCAAGAGTAGATCAACATTTAATAGTAGCAAAACACAGCTCCTGGTAGGTGGGTCATTGGGGCTTCGCACCTTTCATACCTTGTTACTTTCCCCCTATTACAGCATGGCAATATCTATAGGACTGAGCAGTCCACATGCTGAGGGTTGAAGCTCTGCAAAGTTCTCCCTGGTGTGTAGGCACTGAGCTGTTCAGATGTCAGATAAGTTCATGGTGTTGGATTGGATCCTCTAGTATAGATCAGCTTTTAATAGTAGCAAAACCCCGCTTCTGGTAGGTGGATCATGGGGCTCCGCACATTTCATGCTTTCCTTCTATTACAACAGGCTGAGCAGTCCATGCTGAGGATTGAAGCTCTGCAAGTCCTCCCAAGTTATGTCAGAAAAGTTGCAAAACACCAGCTCCTGATAGGTTGATCATAGGGCTCCACACCTTTTATAACTTGTTAGTTTCTCCTATTACATAATGGCAACATCTCTAGGGCTGAGCTGTCCATCCTGAGGGTTGTAGCTCTCCCAAGTGTATTGTTGGTTGGAATACTCAAGAGCAGATCAGCTTTTAATATACGCAAAACACCACTCCTGGTAGGTGGGTCATAGAGGCTCCGAGCCTTTCAGAACTGGTTACTTTCCTTCGATTACAAAATGGCATCATCTATAGGATTGAGTAGTCCATGCTGAGGGTTGTAGCTCTGCAAAGTCTTCCCAAGTGTAGTAGATCAACTTTTAATAGTAGCAGAACACACTGCTCCTGGTAGGTGGATCATGGGGCTCCGAACCTTTCATAACTTGTTACTTTCCTCCATTACAAAAAATGGCGATGTTTACAGGGCTGAGCAGTCCATGCTGAGGGTTGTAGCTCTGCAAAGTCCTCTCAAGTTATGTCAGATTAGTTTATCATGTTGGCTGGGATCCTCCAGAGTAGATCAATATTTAATAGTACCAAAACACCTGCTCCTGGTAGGAGGATCATGAGGCTCTGCACCTTTCATAACTTGTTACTTTCCTCCATTACAAAATGGCGATGTTTACAGGGCTGAGCAGTCCATGCTGAGGGTTGTAGCTATGCAAAGTCCTCCCTAGTGTAGTAGATCAACTTTTAATATTTGCAGAACACTGTTCCTGGTAGGTGGATCATGGGGCTCTGCACCTTTCATAACTTTTTACTTTCCTCCATTACAAAATGGCGATGTTTACAGGGCTGAGCAGTCCATGCTGAGGGTTGTAGCTCTGCAAAGTCCTCCCAAGTTATGTCAGATAAGTTTATCATGTTGGCTGGGATCCTCCAGAGTAGATCAATATTTAATAGTACCAAAACACCTTCTCCTGGTAGGTGGATCATGAGGCTCTGTATCTTTTTATAACCTGTTACTTTCCTCCTATTACAAAATGGCAACATCTGTAGGGCTGAGCAGTCCATGCTGAGGGTTGTAGCTCTGCAAAGTCCTCCCCAGTGTGCAGGCACTGAACTGTTCAGATGTCAGATAAGTTAATGGTGTTGGTAGGGATCCTCTATAACAGATCAACTGTTAATAGTAGCAAAAGGCTCCTGTTGGTGGATCATGTACCTTTTTATAACTTGTTACTTTCCTCCTATTACAAAATGGCAACAGTTATAGGACTGAGCAGTCCATGATGAGGGTTGTAGCTTTGCAAAGTCCTCCCAAGTTATGCCAGATACATTTATGGTGTTGCCCCTCACTGCAGAGTAGATACAGAGCTGGATGTTTGACTGCACTCCGATAAAAGCCAACTTCTTTATTGCAACTAACTCCTTGACATGATCCACAGTCATGCGACAGAAGGAGTGAGACTGCAGTCATTCATTCAACTTTGTATCTATAGGTCAACTTTCTTCTACTCTACTACTGCCTCAGGTCTCACTGTGTGGACATTGCTAAGATAAAGTTTCATCCAAGATTTGCCCTGGATTGTAACTCCACAAACCAAGAGAATAACAGGACAACCTTCTCTCCCTGTATCTGGGCTGTGTTTTATACCATGCAGCAAGTGTACTGGTTCCAGGAAAGGATGTGGGTAGAAGAAATAATGCTGGAGAGGAGGTTCAGCGGGCATGTGTACAGGGGATGAGTGTGGAGTATGTGCAGGAGAGGAGTGAAGAAGGCCCCGGAGGGTACCACTGCTGCCTCTGCCTGCGGGGCAGGAATATGGAGGCTATACTGGGGCAGTAAATGTGTGTGTGTGTTGGGGGGGGAGTGCAGAGGGTATGGCAGGACAGTATGTGCAGGAGAGCAGTGTGGAGGGTATGACAGTGGACCCTCTGTACAGGAGAGGAATGGAGTGGGTGTGACTACTGATGGAGGAATGTTGAGGGCATGGGGCTGGGTATAGACAGTTACAAAGTTGGGCAGGCCAAAAAAAATAGGATTCCCCTATTCACACCAGCAAAGTGGTTGGAGGATTTCCCCTGATGGGCATTGTATTCTGACAGTGGGACTCTCTGCTGTAAGAAAACTCTGTTCAGAGGAGTGTGCAACTTATGAAAGTAGGCAGTGTGTGCAGAAGAGGAGGGCAGAGGGTATGGCAGTGGGTAGTATGTGCAGGAGAAGAGGGAAGAGGGCATGGCAGTGAGCAGTATGTACAGGAGAGGAGTGCAGAGGGTATGAAAGTAAGTAGTATGTGCAGGAGAAGAGGGTAGAGGGTATAGAAGTGGGTAGTATGTGCAGGAGAAGAGAGGGTAGAGGGCAGACGGTAAGGCAATGGGCAGTATGTGCAGGGGAAGAGGGCAGAGGGTAAGGCAGTGGGCAGTATGTGCAGGGGAAGAGGGCAGAGGGTATGGCAGTGGGTAGTATGTGCAGGGGAGGAGTGCAGAGTGCATGGCAGTGGGCAGTATGTGCAGGGTAGAAGAGGGGGAGAAGTGGGCAGAGGGTACAGGATGGAAGTGGGCAGAATGTACAGGAGAGTTGTGTGGCGGGTATGACAGTGGGCAGCATGTACAGGAGAGGAGTGTGGCATGTATGAAAGTGGGCAGCAGGCAGTGTACAGGAGAGGAGTGTGGCGGGTATGACAGTGGGCAGTGGGCATGTACAGGAGAGAGAGGGGCAGCATGTGGCGGGTATGACAGTGGGCAGCATGTACAGGAGAGGAGTGTGGGGGGTATGACAGTGGGGCAGCATGTACAGGAGAGGAGTGTGGCGGGTATGACAGTGGGCAGCATGTACAGGAGAGGAGTGTGGCGGGTATGACAGTGGGAAGCATGTACAGGAGAGGAGTGTGGCGGGACAGTGGGAAGCATGTATGGCGGGTATGACCTCAGGCAATATGTGTAGGAGAGGGAGGGAGTCCCAGTCGGGAGCTGAGCACCTGCAGACTGCAGAAAGAACCTGAAAATGCTTAGCACTGATAAAAACTGCAATGTTTCTGTAGTGCACAGGGAAATCTGGGAAAACTTTAACCATTAACAGTCCGCAGAGGCCAAGAGAACAGGAAGTTCAGGTCACTAGGTACCAACAAGTATTTTTTGTGCTTATCAAAAAGATATAACAAAAAAGACAGAAAGAGAGCAAATAAGAGAAACTTGCTGCTAACATTTCCATACACTTGAAGCTGTTGTTAGCTCCCCTGTCAGGTAAGTGGTATGCCTGGATATAGGTGTACACACAATGGAAGTGGTTTGTTAAGAGCCAGTAACACTTTAGGAACTATCACCGAACTAGGCTCATCGTGTTTATATTTTCCCATAAATGTCATAGTAGTCACTTATCTGGGGTAACAATTTTTAACCCCTTGCCACTGCTGCCCACCAACCCCCTATACAGGATTTGAATGCTGGAAGGCAGAGGCTGGTTTTCTGATCTTGGGACTGCTGTGATTGGCTGTCCCAGCAGTCACATGCAGCGTGATATTGTATATAGATCAGTCAGTGGCATCTTTCAGAAAAAGCTCAGTCGCTTCTGTCCTTTTATGTAGTCAGTGTAGCCTTCTACCATGCAGGCAAACTAGGTAAAAATTGAACAAAGTACTGAAAGCGAAAAACTTAAAACAAAATTCTGTTGAGATATGGCCAGGTTCACCTGTGCGCCTCCTTCCCAGCATGTGGTCACTGTTACCGATGGAGCGGTCACAGACAGATAGTAACTCCTCCAACTGACCTCCAGTGAGCTGTAAGCATGGCGGCCACCAGCAAATTATTTGAGTGTTGAGTTTAGGAGATCAGCTAATTTGCATATTGACTATCCTCTCCTCTGCTCCCTCAGAAACATTGTAACTACTTCCCCTCTCACCATTTACACCCCTCTATGGACCAGAGCAGTTTTTTTACATTTCTACTGTGGATCTCTTTATTTCACAATTAAAGATTAAAAAAATTATATATATATATATATATATATATATATATATATATATATATATATATATATATATTTATATAGAACAAAAAAGGCTTTCTTTTCATGCTGTTTTCTTGGAAAAATTATTTTTATGCAATCTTTAGACAAAAGAAAATGTAACAAAGCTAAAAAACAAAACAAAACATATTTTTCTTTTTTGACCAGTGTTCGTTTAAAAAAAAACCTCAAAAACATAGTATTACTGTAGAATAAAATATACATTTTATTCTATAATTGGAAAATGACATAAAGGGTTTTTTTAATTAAAATGTGCAAATGTTTTAATTGTGACACTAACAGGAAAAAAAACCAAACAGATAAAAATGCAAAATTAAATAAGGACTAAAAATTAAAAAAAAGCAGGAAATAATACTTGAAGGAAGAAGGAGTTAATTCTGGCTGCTTTGGGTAAACAAAGTGTTTTAGTAAGGGGTTAAAAAAACACATTTTATTTAAAGAAAAAACCCTTTTTTTTTTTCCTTCATATGTCCGGTTGCTTTCACTGACATCAATTGCAGAGCCAATGCATCCCTTTCATCTGCAGATGAATAAAACAGAGTGGATACTAAAGTAACAATGTTAATTTGTATCTCTGTGTCTGAATAATGTTGTTACATTTTGAGTCAGACTTCTTTTTTGACAGCTGCAGCTTCTAGAACTGTATGTATGTATACAGCAACGTTACTTTAACTGACAATTGCGCGGTCATGCAGCTCTGCACCAAAATGAAATTTATGTCCTTTTTTCCCCATGAATTGAGCTTTCTTTCAGTGGTATTTGATCGCCTGTGCGTTTTTATTTTTTGCGATTAAAAAAAAAAGATGTCTGATAATTTTGAGAAAAAAACATTTTTTTTTACTTTTTGCTATTAAACATGTCCAGTAAAAAAATATAAAAAAACTAATTTCTTCATAAATGTAGGCCAAATGTATTCTGCTCTATGTCTTTGCTAAAAAAAATAATTCCCAATACATGTAAATTAATTGGTTTATGTGAAAGTTATAGCGTTTACAAATAGCGATATATATACTGGTATTTTTTTCAAATATATTTTTATTAATAATGGCGGCGATCAGCGACTTATAGCAGGACTGCGGCGGGCATTCTGACACTGGGGGGAACTGACTTGGTATCACTGACATCCCCAGTGACACCAATACAGTGATCAGTGCAAAAAAAAAAAGCACTGACCTGACCAGGGGCAGACTGACAACTCATGGGGCCCCCGGGTAATAGGGGATCATGGGGACCCTGTGTCCTTGCCCACATTCAAAGCACATCCAAAAAAGCTTATAAAAGGTACAAGGGGCATTTCATGGGGCCCCCTACTGACCCCGGGCTTTCGGGCAGTGCCTGAGTGCTTGAATGGTCAGTCCATCCCTGGACCTGACACTGTACTAATGGCACTGGGCAGGAAGGGGTTAACATGAGGGGCGATCAAAGGGTTAACTGTATGCTGTTTTACACTGTGCTTTGTGTGCTTCACTGTAAGCACACTGCTTTGGTTGGCTGTGCTGCGCACAGCCATCCAAAGCAGTGTGCATGAGCCAACAGGGAGACGAACTGTTTTATTTACCAACAGTTCTCTTCCCTGTCGGAGATCCTCGGAAATCACTGGGCGCCGGTGAGTAATCACCGGCTGGGACCCACTGATTGACAGCCGCGGCCGCAAATGGTGGCGTGGGTAGGGGGTGTGCATGCCTCGCATGCGCTCCCTACCCAGAAGTGCAAAATCACACTATATATATATATGTGTGTGTGATTTTTGCACACCCGTTCCACCCTGTAGCAGTATTTCTGCTATAGGGCAGTCGGGAAGCAGTTAAGGTAATTTGTGGTCTTCAAATAATTGTGTTCTGAACAGCTGAATTACTCACTGATTTTGTGTTGCTTTCATCAGAAGGTTTGAATCTTCCTAATCATGTATAAGAAAAAAAAAAAAAAAAAAAAAAAAAATATATATATATATATATATATATATATATATATATATATTACAGGGCCACCCATTTTACATATGCAGAGGGTGGACAGCACCAACAAGTAAAATTAGTTCTTGGAAGTAACTCAAAATAACCACCAATTCAATCATTATATAATAAAAAAAACAAGGGGTCATTATATAATAATACAAAGGGGTTACAGTGCAGTAAGCATACACGTATAAGCAGTAATATAGCAACTCTGCCCTTTTCTAGTTACCAACCTGCACTGTACAGTAAAAATGGAAGTCTGAATTATCAGGTCCTAACAGCTTCATTTATACAACACATGAGAAACTAAAGAGGCGCTGCCACTTCGTAATCCTTTCCCATAGCAAGCTATTACTTATAAAATGGGGATTCTGAGTTACCATATATTGCAATACATGTTCAACTGCGTCAAAGTGATCCCTTTCTGGCCAGATCATATTCTGTCTTGCAGATATGCCAATGCTTATTTGCTACAATAGCTACTCTTGAGAGTGTGAACATATAGTGCCAATATGGGGCAGACACAGCTGGAGGTGAAAATGGCTCTGGACCAAAATCAAGTCGTGCACATCCACAATGGGGAAAAATACAAAGTTTAAGAGGGTCACTTTGAAAACATCAGATCTCAATGGGGAATGGGGAAAAATCTTCTGCTGGATCTCTATACTGACATGGACTGGGTAATGTATTAGGAATGTAAGGACGCCCCATGGTTTGATGGAAATGAAAATTGATCAACCTACAGAGGACTGAATTCAAAGACACCCCAAAAATCAAAGTGAAAATATTATGCAGCAGGCGAGTCCATTTTGCTGAAATGTCATTTCAGCAACTCAATATGGTCCTCAGTAGTTTGTATGGCCCCCATGTGCTTGCATGCATGCCTGACAACATGGGTGGAGGCTCCTAATGAGACGACAGATGGTGTCCTGTGGTTTTTCTTCCCAGATCTGGACCAGGGCATCACTGAGCTCCTGGACAGTCTGATGTGCAACCAGGTGGCATTGGATGGACTAAAACATGATATCCTAGAGGTGTTCTATTGGATTTATGTCAGACGAGCATGGGGGTCATTCAATGGTATCAATTCCTTCATCCTCCAGGAACTGCCTGCATTCGCCATATGAAGCTGGGCATTGTTGTGCACCAGGAGGAACCCAGGACATACTGCACAAGTGTAGGGTCTGACAATGGGTCCAAGGATTTCATTCCGATACCTAATGGCAGTCAGGGTGCCATTGTCCAGCCTGTAGAGGTCTGTGCCTCCCTCCATGGATATGCCTCCCCAGACTATCACTGACCCACCACCAAAACAGACATGCTGTACGATGTTACAGGCAGCATAACATTCTCCATGGCTTCTCCAGACCCTTTCACGTCTGTCACATGTGCTGAGGGTGAACCTGCTCTCATCTGTGAAAAGCACAGGGCGCCAGTGGTGGACCTGCCAATTCTGGGGTTCAATGGCAAATGCCAATCAAGCTCTATGGTGCCGGGCAGTGAGCACAGGGCCCACTAGAGTAGATCGGGCCCTCAGGACACCCTCATGAAGTCTGTTTCTGATTGTTTGGTCAGAGACATTCACACCAGTGGCCTGCTGGAGGTCATTTTGTAGGGCTCTGGCAGTGCTCATCCTGTTTCTCCTTGCACAAAGGAGCAGATACCGGTCCTGCTGATGGGTTAAGGACCTTCTACAGCCCTGTTCATTTCTCCTAGAGTAACTGCCTGTCTCCTGGAATCTCCTCCATGCTCTTTAGACTGTGCTGGGAGACACAGTGCCATCCTGGAGATGTTGGACTGCCTGTATAACCTCTGTAGGGTCCAGGTATCGCCTCATGCTATCAGCAGTGACACTGACCCTAGCCAAATGCAAAACTAGTGAAAAACAGAAAAGATGAGTAGGGAAAAAATGTGAGTGGTCTCCTCCTGTAAAACCATTCCTGTTTTGGGAGTCATTTTATTGTTGCCCATCTAGTACACCTGTTGTTAATTTTATTAACACTAAAGCAGCTGAAACTGATTAACACCCCCCTCTGCTACTTAACTGACCGGATCAATATCCCAGGAGTTTCATTGACTGGATGCTATACTCTGATTAAAAAGTGTTCCTTTATTTTTTTTTGAGCAGTGTATATATGTATGTGTGTATGTATGTGTATATATAACAGTTAACACTGCTTCATTGTATTTACTGAACCTGGTGAATAAGCGTCTCTCTATCTTTAGGAAATCAACCCTGTCCATTTATAAATGTTTTCACACGTGGCACACACAGCAGGATTCATACATTTTGCAGTTGAATCTGATTAGAAAAAATATGTGAATCTTGTGTGAAAACATTTATAAATAGACTCCTAGGTGTTAGTGAAACCCATGTCTAGAGAAATATGTAGTCTGCCTTTGCAGACCTCTCCTTCTGAAGATGCTAGTTGCCTGGTTGTCATTCTGATGTTATGGCTTCAGTATATCCGGAATCACGGACTTGGGTTTGACTTCACTATCCACATACTTGTTGCAGGTCAAAGAGTTAGAAAGTTGTGCAGACAGAATATCAGGGATGTCAGGAAATTAGCATTTTCAGAAGGAGCTCAGTATTGGCAGCCTACATATATCAATGTAATGTTGGTTACATAACTGCTTGTATCGAATGGTTATCTTAAAGCGATATTAAACCTTTTGGGTTTTTTTTTTTACTAAAATAACAAACATGTCAATACTTACCTGCTCTTTGTAATGCTTTTGCACAGAGCAGCGCCAAGCCTCCTCTTCTGCTGGCACCCTCGGCCCCTTCTCTTCAGTCCATGCACCCATGAAAAGCCGCTTTCCATGGGGGCACCCATGCAGTTTTGCTCCCAAGCTGGCCTGTCCATTGATACAGAGCTGGCAGCTTGGCCCCGCCCCCCTCCTGTGTCACAGCATTTGATTGACAGTGATTGATCAATCTGCCCATTGAGGAGGAAGACAGAGGTTAGAGCTGCTGCTCTCGTGCACATCGCTGGATCAGATCGGGCTCAGGTAAGAAAAATGGGGGTCTGGGGGCTGCAACACAGAAGGTTTTCCACCTTAATGCATAGAATGTATTAAGGTGAAAAACCTTAAGGCTTTAGAACCACTTTAAAGTGTTTTATTTTTTTTCACTGTATTGGGAAACGGACATGTGCAGCACAGTGCAGAAGTGGTTAGCACGTCCGCCTGGCAGTACTAGGGCCATCGGTTTGAATCCCAACCAAAGAACCACCTGCCTGGAGTTTGCATGTTCTCCCTGTGCCTGCGTGGGTTTTCTCAGGGTGCTCCGATTTCCTCCCACACTCCAAAGACATGCTGGTAGGTTAATTGTCTCCTGTCTAAATTGGCCCTAGTATGTGTATGTATGAATGTGAGTTAGGGACCTTAGATTGTACACCCCGTGAGGACTAGGGACTGATGGGAATGTGTAATATACAGTATAAGTACCCTACCCGTGCCCTCCGCTCCTCACAGGACCTCCTGCTCTCTAGCTCCCTGGTCTCCTCCTCCCATGCCCGATTGCAGGACTGCTCTAGGACTTCCCCCATCCTCTGGAACTCCCTACCCCAATCCATCAGAATGTCACCTACCCTCCTCACCTTCAGGCGCACCCTGAAAACCCTCCCCTTCAGGGAAGCCTACCCCAACCTCTCCTAACACCCGACCTCACCTCACAACCAACCTCCTTCATTCCACCCACCACTCCATCCCCCACAGCCATCTCCTCCTGTGCCACCCTCCCCCTCCCTCCTAGATTGTAAGCTCGAAAGAGCAGGGCCCTCGAACCCCTCGTGTAGTGTACTGTTACTGTCTTGTCTCATGTTATGTCCCCCTGCTACTGTACAGCGCTGAGCATACCCTTTGGCGCTATATAAATACTGTATAATATAATAATAAAAATAAGTAAAGTGCCATGTAAACTGACAGTACTATATAAGTATCTGAAATAAATAATTATCAGTCTCCCCAGGGATAAGCAAATATTGTCTAAATAGAACAGTCCTGTATATTCTTTCTTGAATCTTGGTATGCTTTTCTTATTTCTTTCAGACCTGTGCAATAATCCAGTATGAGTCTTTCCCTTGGTCTTGTAATAAAGACCGCTTACTGCTGCTCTCTCTCCTTGTGCAGGGTGACTGGTCTTGTCTCCGCCCCCTCCTGTAGCTTCCTACAGGCAGTCTGTAGTGTGCGAGGCCTGCTGAGCCCTTCCCACATCTTTGCTGTCTACACAGGCTACGTACAGCCCAGTGATGATGGCACTGCTTCTTTTACAAGGTGTTATCTGCATTTGTAAAACCATTTGCTGGTCACAAAGTGGATTTATATCCTTTGTGGCTATTGATGAATTTATTTAGTTGAAAGCTTGTGTGCCTGGAGCAGGGGCAGGACTGACCATTCGGGCACTGCCCGAGGGCCTGGGGTCAGTATGGGGCCCCATGAGATGACCCTGGTACCTTTTTATAGGCTTTTTTGGGTGTACTTTGAGTGTGGGTAAGGACACAGGGGCCCCATGATCCCCTGTTGCCTGGGGGCCCCATGAGTTGTCAGTCCGACCCTGACCTGGAGTACAGCTTTTAAAATCTAAAGTACAGTTCTGATATCATGCAGGATCT